CAAAGGCAGCTGGGTCAGAGGAGAGAAGGGGACATATAGGAGAGGCATTAGGAAGCTAGAAATGATAGGACTTGGCAACAGGTTGGATCTATGGGGTGAATGAGAGTGAGGAGTCCAAGGTAACACCAAGGTGGTGCAGTTATTGTAACAGCCTTAAGAGAAAGGTGATAAAGACCTGTGCAAAGGTGGGGTGGCTATGGCTGAAGAGAAAGGGACATAGAACAGAGATGCTGTCAAGGTAAAAATGACAAGTTTGGACAACAGGTCATTAGTTTACCTTGCAATGATGCTGCAGGCACCATCTGGCGTCTGGACAAGTTTGTGGGAGACAGGATGGAGGATAGGGCAGGGCTAGGGACCAAGATAAGACGCCAGAGCCAAGAAGACTAAAAAAAGGTTAGCCAAATACTTGAGTTTGAATCCTGAATAGGGAAAATGAAGAGTCAGAGATCCTGTGTTCAATCTTACCTTTGACAATTTATAACCTGTATAACCATGGACAAGTAGCTTATACTCCCTGGGTCTCTGTTTTCTCATCTAAATGATAAGAGGGAGGCACCCCATGACTCCAGAGTTTTGTTGTTGTTGTTTTTTCCAGCTCTGAATCTAAGACTGCTCTAAGAAGGACTGAAAAAACCCAAGGGGCAGCTAGATGGTGCAGTGGATAGAGCACTGAGCCTGAGTCAGGAGGTCCTGAGTTCAAATTCGACCTCAGATACATGATACTCACCAACTGTGTGACCCTAGGCAAGTCACTTAACTCCAATTACCTCACACACACAAAAACAAACAAACAAACAAACAAAAAACCAAACCAAATGAGTCAGGTTGGAGGTAATGCTGGGAACCAAAGCAATCATTACATTACAGTTTATATTTTTCTAGCCCTTGAAAGTTTATAAGCGATCAATCAAGGAATGATTCTTTAAGTCTATGCCAGGCACAAGTGCTGGCCATGCCCTGACAAAAGGAAATAGCCCGTGCCTTTGAGTTCTGTTTTGCACAAGCACATACTGTGAGTGTGGAATGACCTGACCCAGTAAGAATCAGAAGAGAGATTTCCATTTCACACTTCTTTGTGAAGAAAAGACTAGGGTGCCTCTCCCTGCCCCAAGGATGTCTCACAATCCTGAGGGGTTAGTAGCACAAACATTATTATTCCCTTCTTATGAGGGAGGAGACAAAAGGAGAATTTACAGATAATCTACTCCAGGAGTGTTTAACCTGAACTCTACCCCTTGATAGACTTTAGGAGTCTATGAATTTGGATAGAAAATTATATATGTATATATATATATATATGTATACACACACATATACACACAATCCTGTCATATATATTATGTGGATAGATTATATAATATATATCTTTGTTTCTTTTGTAACCTCACAATATTTATCTTATGCATTTAAAAACATTATTCTGAGAAGGGAGTCTATAAACTTCACTCAGCTGCCCAAGGGGTCCCTAACACAAAAATGGTTACGAACCCTTGATCTGCTCAGATTGGACAGATAGGAAAGTGAAGCATTACCTGGAGTCACCAAGCAAAGAAGGATTGAAACCAGAACACAGATCTTCTGGTTGTTGTTGTGCAGTCATGTCCACTCTCCATGACTCCATTTGGGAGTCCTTGGTGACCTGAAAATGATTCTCCATGTTCTGTCTGGCTGGGACTGATTGAAGTAAAATGGTTGCTTTCTTCATTCTCTTCTCCTTTTGACACAGATTTTTTTTTTCTTGGCTGTCATGTCACACCACTGACTCATCTTGAAGTAAGTTGAAAAGATCAATGAGTTCAATAAAGGTCTGGATAAACTCCTGGATGCCAAAGCTATAATGGGTCACAAAAAATGGAATTGTGCTGATTGGTGCCTGCTGCTGTCCTTCGCAAAGATACTGGAGTAGTTGGCCATTTCCTTCTCCAGCTTATTTTTATAGATGAGAAAAGTGAGGCAGACAGGGTTAAGTGACTTGCCCTGGGTCACAGCTAGTAAGTGCCTGAGGCTGGATTTGAACTCAGGAAGAGGAGCCTTCTTAATTCTGGTCCCCATGCTCTATGTATTATAGCACCATCTAACTGCCCTTTAGACCTTCTGGACTTCAAGCAAAATTCTCCTCTGGTTGCATTATACCATCACCCTGCGCCTTTTGCTACCACAAACCCTATCTTCTGCCTCAATCTCCTTCATAGTGAATGACATGCATGTTCACTTCAATCTAGCATAAATTAGGGACTGAACTTAGGGTTGTAGACAGAGCACAGATTTTAGAGCCAGAGGACTTGGATTTGAATCTCACATTTGAAGTTTCCTACCAGTATGAATACAAGTCACTTATCCTCCTTGGCTACCGTTTTTCTCATCTGTACAATGAGGCTTGGACCAGTGACCCTTGAGGTTCCTTCTGGCTTCAGCTCCCTGCTTCTTTGACCCAAGATTCAGAAATGGGCATTTTTTTTTTTTACTTTGAAGACAGAAGCTTGAAGGAAGTGCCCTTCCATTGTCCTAGAATCCCAAAGCCTGAGAACCAGAAGGATCCTCATTGGGCATCTGGCACCTGAGAAGGAGTCTTCTCTACAAAATCCCCAACATCTGTGATGGGAACCTTACTACCCTTTGAAACAGTCCTCTTATACTATAGAAGAGCTTTAGAAATTTTTCTAGTCATCCTGTGAGTTTCAGCCTTCCCATAACTTCTCTTCTCCTTCCCCTAATTGGACTTAGTTCTGACCTGTGGGGCTAAGCAGACCAAAACCAACCTCTGACTTGCACCTGTCTGCCCTGCTGATAGTTGAATAGCTCCCAAGCCCACAGGAACCTTTTTATCTCCAGGCCAAACACCCCCAGTTTCATCAGCTGATCCTCAGAAGCATGGACTCCTGGTGGCCCTACTTTGGACATTCAATGTACTCCCTAACCAGTGACGGCCAGACCTGAAAATGGTGCTCCATGTTCTGTCTGGCTGGTACTGATTAAAGTAGAATGGTTGCTTTCTTCATTCTCTTCCCCTGTTGACACAGATTTTTTTTTTCTTTGCTGTCATGTCACACCACTGACTCATCTTGAAGTAAGTTGAAAAGATCAATGAGTTCAATAAAGGTCTGGATAAACACCTGGATGACAAAGCTATAATGGGTCACAAAAAATGGAATTGTGCTGATTGGAACCTGCCGCTGTCCTGGGAGGACAGAAACAAGATAGATAGGCTAGTAGCCTCTTCAGGGGTTAGAACAATTCCAGGTTCACAATGGGCAGCCACAGACCCTCAGATTACACTCCCCCCAAGTTATGCTTTTTTTATATTCTGTATGTTCATAGTGGTTTGCACGGTCTTCCCGATTAGAATGTAAACTCCTTGAGTAGAGGGGTTTCCCCCCCCCCCCCCCCGTATTGACAGCACTTAGAACAGTGCCTGGCACATAGTAGGATGATTAATGGACATTTATTGAATTTAGTTGAATTATAGAAGTCTAGGTCTGGACTGAGGTCTGAGATGAGGGTTTCGATTTGAATACCCTTGATTGGCAATGTGGGAGGAATGGGAGGAACAGTGTGGCAAGGTCAGGGCTATGGCAATTCCATCTTGTAGGTTTAGTGTTAAAGTTGGACTCAAAGTTAGGGTTAGGATTGGGATCAGACTGTAAACAAGCCTTTATTAAGCACTTGATGTATACCAGGTACTGTGCTAAGTGCTGGGGATACCAAGATGAGCAAATAGATGGTCCCTGCTCTCATGAAGTCATGGCTTTGATCAGTGTTAGTAACAGGGTCACCACTGACTAACAGTCTTGAAGGACTGACCCTCCTATAAGCTGAAAGCATCTTCAGAAGCCTCCTAGTCTAACCCCCTGATTTTACAGAGGAAGAAACTGAAGTCCAGGATGGTTGGGAGATTTACCCAATGTCACACACATTAAGAGTCAGAAGTGGGATTTGCACCCAGTTCCTTTGACTCCAGAGTCAATGCTCTTTTCAGTTTATCATACGCCTGCACTATTTCTCTTCACCCTAGAAGAATTTAGACAGGAAAAGTGGAAGGGAAGCATGCAGGGAGATAGCAACTACAATTTCATGGGATCTGGAGCTGAAAGAGAACTCAGGAGCCATTTAGTTCAACCGTCTCATTTTACAAATGAGGAAACTGAGACCCAGGGAGGTTAGGTAAGTCTAGGTCATTACAGATAGTAACAGAGAGGATTTGAACATAGAAAAGTTTTCAGGTCATATCACCAGATTTGAATGGGATTGGGAGTGAGAGTCCAGTTAGGGGTGGGGAGACCCGCCTCTCTGCGGAGGCTGGAGTTATTCTCAGTTCTAGGGGGAGTTCTGCGCAATCTACCACTCTCTCGATCAGGGGGGTTCATAACTTGAGATCCATTAGCTTAAAAAATTGCATAACTGTATTTCAGTATTATTGGTTTTCCTTGCAATTCTACCTAAGTTTTTATGAGTTGATAAAACATGGTTCTGAGAAGGACTCCTAGGTTTCAGCGGGCTGATTCCCCAAAGAGACCATGACAAACAAAGGTTAGGGTTAGAGCCAAGCTGGCGTCCGGACGCTAAAGGGGATTGTTGGGTGCTTGGCCTCACGGCGGGGGCGGGGGTGCGGGGGGGGTGACACAGACCAGGGCACATAGATGGGCGGATGCCTGAGAGAGTCAGGGGGCTCCCGGGTCCCCTTCCTTCCAACTAACCCCACTCTCTCTCTCATGGTTCTTTGAAACCTCTCAGAGACAGTCGAATCTGGGCGGGAGGGAGGTGCAGAGGTGATGGGGGCGGCAGGGATGGGCCAGCCCGACCCAGACCCCAAGCAAGGAACCTCTGCTGTTTATCTTGGCCAGTCCCGGGGTCCCGGGGGGACTGTACAAAGAACAAATGAAGGGGGTGTCAGAGAGCTGGGCGCCGCCCGAGCCTCTGGGAGCGCAGCGCTGAGCCAGGGCAAGCAGAGAAGGCGGGGAGACGGGTGGGGCAGGGGCCAGTATAAGAGATGGGAGCTTCCTCGGAGCAGGTCACTGTGGATCGTACGGGAGGTCGCGGCTGGAGGGGAGCCCGCCTTCACCGCGCACCCTGCTCTGAGACCTTTCCTGAGGTGAGACCTGCGCCCTCCCCCAACCTCATGTCAGGTCCCTAGGCACCCAAGCGCCCAGAACTCACTTGCCTCACTTGTCCAGGCTTTCCTAGCATTCAAACGTCCGTGGCTCCCTTCCCCCGCTTTCCTTGGGGATTCAGAAGCCTGGTTCCACTTGGGTGCCCAACTGTCCTCCTTCCAGGCTCTCCCTCAACTCTCTCCAGGCACCCCCTCCTCCCACCCTCACAGGGACCCTGGTGTCCCGGCCAGCCAGCCTTTGCACTCTCAAAGACCCAGTAGTTTGGGGTTTCAACTCTGCCTCCCGGGCACCTGCTACTAGTCCTAAAATGCCCTGGAACTCTGAATTTTTCTGTATCCTCAGAATCTCTCAGCCCCACTTCCTGCCCTACCCCCCAATCTTGCCCTGCATCTCCAGCTATCGAAGCCCTCAGCCCATACACTTCTGAAAGCTTTGGTTGAGGTCCCCTTCTATGTCTGGGACCCTAATTTGAACGATCCCCCATCTCCAGTCACTCCCCCTCTCCTTTCCCGCCACATCCACCGTCCAAGCTGAAGATAGCAGACCCCCTCACTTAAAACTATCCTAGGACAACTTGTTTCCCTATTTTTCCTAGAGAAAATGCCTCTTCTCACTCCCCCCCCCCCCCATTCAACCACTAATGGCCCTACTCAGCCTTATTTCCAATTCACCATCACTCTTTTCCTCCAAAGTTGGGATGGGAGTAGGTTACCAGAGGGGTGAGGGAGCACTGGATATCTAGGGCTCTGAGGCTGAGCAGGAGCTGGCGGCTCCTGATACCTGAGTTCCTGTGTCAGAGGGGGCCGAGGGCACAGCCAGGTACAGTGGGAAAGAAGACTGGGTTCAGAGCAAGAGTCTCAGGTCTGCATTGTAGCAATGCTCTGACCTTAGGCAAGTCACTTAACCTCATTTTTAAAGTGATATTGGACAGGATAGTTGTTCTCCTTCTGAATCTAGGGAGCTATGAAAGAGGATCACTGAGTACCTGAAGAGGCAGGTCTTGAGATAAGAACATTTGTTTCCCTAAAGTTGGAGTGGGGGCAGGTCAGACACTTGGGTCTCTGAGGGGCAAGGATCAGGAAGCTCAGATTCCTAGATCTCCAAGGAGGTGAGAGTCAGAGGGCTAATGCCTACCTGTGTCTGATTCCTTCTAGGTCCTCCAGGAGAGAAGTCACTCAAAGGGAGTGAATCAGCTGGGAGACGGTCTGACGAGATGGCCCGTGGGTGCTACCTTTGGCTGCTACAGCTGCTGCTGATGGCAGCTGTCCCTTGGGCCCAGCAGACACAAGAGGGTAAGGCCAGGGGTGAACTCCACCGTCTCCCCACCTCTTACTCCCATAACTTCTTTTGACCTCTTCCAGAATGCACCCTCCCATCATGGCCCTCTAAAACTGATCCTTCCCCCTCCATGTGAGCCTCTCCCCTATACTCTTCTTGACCTAGATTAGTTCTCTGAGTGACTCCTAACTTTCTGTGCATGCCTCTTTCTGTTTTATCTTAATGGGTCCTCAGTCTCTCAGACTCTGTTTCTCCTTTCAACCCTCTCTAACCCTTCCCATATCCCTTGCTCCAGGTTAAGACCTTTCTCCCCTCTCCATCCCATTAATGAGGGCAACTCACTCTTAGACTCTGTTTCTATCTCAGCTGATATATCTTCCTATTCTAATGTATCTTTACATGTGTCATCCCTAAGGTTGAGGCCATCTTCTTTTATTTCAGCATCTTTGAGGTCCTATTCTTTCCTCCCTTCCTTCCTTCCTTCCTTCCTTCCTTCCTTCCTTCCTTCCTTCCTTC